ACAGGTCTTTTTTTCTTTTCTTTTCTTTTCTTTTCTTTTCTTTCTTTTCTTTTCTTTTCTTTTCTTTTTTTCTTTCTTTTTTTCTTTTCTTTTTTTGAGAGCAGAGTCTCCTCTGTTGCCCGGCTAGAGTGAGTGCCGTGGCGTCAGCCTCGCTCACAGCAACCTCCAACTCCTGGGCTCAGCGATCCTCCTGCCTCAGCCTCCTCCCGAGTAGCTGGGACTACAGGCATGCGCACCATGCCCGGCTAATATTTCTATATATATCATCTCTCTCTTTTCTGAGGCAGGAGGATCGCTTGAGCCCAGGAGTTGGAGGTTGCTGTGAGCGAGGCTGACGCCACGGTACTCACTCTAGGCTGGGCGACAGAGCGAGACTCTGTCTCAAAAAAAGAAAAACACTCAAGTTTAGCATCGACAGTGGGAAATATTCCCTGCATTCTTATCAGGGTCATTGGATTTCAGGTTCTCGTGTGCACTGAGTTATCTGCCCCAGGGAGGCAGAGAGCAGCGTGTAGCCCGACCGGAGAGGCCGATCTTGGGGTCTCGCCCTCCGATTTCGGTGGAGGTCGCTCTGCTAATTATGGGCTGTACCTGCCTGGGCTCGCGTGGTTAGCGTGCAGCCGCATTCCCAAAGCGTTTGTCAGCCGGGGCGGGGCAGACGGCCAGCAGCGCAGCCAAAGCACCAGGGGAACGTTGGGTCAGGCTTAAAGGATGAACCCCACGATCGATCCCGTCATGTGGACACTGCAAAGCTAGCCGCGGCTCTCAGCTTCCCCCCAAGTCCGCAATCCCAGGGACCGGACAGACACCACCTTGGAAATCACGTTCTCCCTCCTCTCTCTGCCCCCCTGCTCCCAGTCATGGCACCCCAATTTCGGAGGAAGCAGCAGGTACGGCACCCATGCACACAGCCACCCGTGTTTCTGCCGGGAGCGGGGGGCGAAAAATCTGGATAATTGTGCCAGGAGTTTTCCTGCCGCACCAGAGAATCGCCCGTCGTGCCGTGATAAAACGAAAGTGCCTTAGGAAAACTCTGATGTGTTGTATGGGTTTTTTTTTGTGCTGTTTTACTCTCAATGCAATCACTTCTATTCTTTTTCTTTTGAATAAAAGTTAACATTTTCCTTAAGGTGTTGACAAAAAAAAGGGAGGGAGGGAGGGAGGGAAGGAAGGAAGGAAGGAAGGAAGGAAGGAAGGAAGGAAGGAGAAAAAGAAAAAAAAACGAAAAGAAGGAGGAAGGGAAGACGGGAAGGGAGGAAGCGAGAAGGAAGGAAGGAAAAGTAAAAGAAGAAGAAAGAGGAACGAAGGAGAGGTAAGGAGGGAGGGAGCGACGGGAGGGAGGGGAGGAAAGGAAAGAGAACGAAAAGAAAAGAAGAGAAGAAGGAAGGAAGGAAGGAAAGGAAGGAAGAAGGAGGAAAAAAAAAGAAGAAGAGGAAAGAAGGAAGAAAGGCAAGAACAAGAGGAAGAAGGAGAAAAAAGAAGGAAGGAAGGAAGGCAAGGAAAAGGCAAGGAGGTAAGGAAGGGACGGAAGGGAGAAGGAAGGAAGAGACCAGGAGAAGACCAGAAGAAAGGAGAAAAAGCAAAAGAAGAAGGGAGGAAGAGAAGTAAGAGGAGGATGAAGTAAGGAGAAAAGAAAAAGAAAAGAAGACAGAGAACGGAAGGGAGGTAAAGGAGGAAGGAAGGATA